GAGCGATTAAGCATTACTGCGACGTGTGATTTATAATGTATACAATTATATCACTTATTATCACATAAAGTTGCTAAATAATTTTTCTAAACATTCATTTATGCTGTTGCTTATGCAGTGTCGCAAGACTACAATTCTACAAGACTTTTTATTAGAGAAGAACACGAAACTTATACATAATTTAAATCAGTTAACCAAATAATTCAATAAAATTGTGTTCCTTAAACACTGGTTTAGATTTATAGTATCTACATCTGGATAAAACCACGAACACTAGCAGTCGGTCATAGATTAGAACTGAATGTACACACATATTAAATGATATATAGAAATTCAGTCAATATTCTGGAATGGTATGTATGACATTATCTAAGTTAGAAGAATGTTAACGTAACTGTCGAGTTTTGTAGCAACTTTGTCGAACGGCCTATCTGTGCATAGCGAATAAACATATTCATTTATATATACTTATAAATTAAAGATACATATCTTATGTATTTTTCACTTTTCTTAGGAGAGACAAGGAGAAAATACAAAATAAATAAAAACATAATGAAAATTCGGTAGTAGCAGAACATTGTAATAAAGAAAAATGTGAAATTGTTTTAGATACGATTAAAGTAAAGAAAAAAAAACAATTTTAAAAGTCAGTTATACGAACATATTTATCCACCAATCATAGAACAGTATTATCGATAACAAATGCAATAGAATAAAAAGTTTATGAAAGGAGTGAGCTACGTAAAAATGTTTGCTGCTGATTGTTTTCTCTAAATAAGTTTTTCTCAATTGCAGAAACCGAACACCACAACAATGAATCCTATTAATAAGCTCTGTCCTAGTAGAGAATTATATTACAAACTGTATATAATAAAAACATAAAGGCATGTGAAAGTACTAAGCTGATGATTCGATTTCACGTCCAAAGTTTTCCATCAGAAATTTTCATTACATAAATTTTGAAATGTGGCCTTCACTTGTAAATATATGAACGATTTGGATAATTACTTGATGGTATGGTGAGAAGACCAGTATTATTCACTAAAATTGTGTAAGTTAAACACTGGTTTAAACTTATAGTATCTACATCTAAATAATACCACGCAACACCAGTAGTTGGTCGTAAATACGAATCGAATGTATACACAAATTAATTGATACATAGAAATTCGATCAATATTTTGGGAATGATATGTATGTACAGTACGACATTATCTAAGATAAAAGTATGTTAACGTATCTGCCAAGTGTCATAGCAATCTGTCGAACGGCCTGTGCTTGCATAGCGAATAAACAAATTCATTTATATATACATATAAATTGAAAATACATACCTAACGTATTTTTAACTTTTTCCTACTAGAGACAAAGAGAAAATACAAAACAAGTATAAAGAAACGTATCAGAGTCATAAAAGAAAATAATGAAAATTCGGTAGTGGCAGAACATTGTAATAAAAAAACAATGTGAAATTGTTTTAGATACGATTAAAATAAAGAAAAAAAAACAATTTTAAAAGACATATTTATTTTTCCAGTCATAGAACAGTATTACCGATAACAGGAGCAGTGGAATGGAAAGTTTATGAAGAGTACACTAAGTAAAAATGATATTCATCGTTTTCTGTTGCAAGCATAGGTATGTGAGAGTCAACTAATTTTTTTAAACGTTTTAAAACATTATATTTTTATAAATGTGTTTGAACTTTATACAGGTAATGTGATTTTATGATGAAAATTCTTCTGGTATTTATTTACATATCGAAGTAATTAACAAAAATAAAATTGTAAATCATGCTAACACATTTACATAATTTTCGGGTAATCTTTGTTCTATAGCAACGGTGGGCAACCCCCGGCCCGCGGGCCAGCTACGGCCCGCGAAAAGTTTCTATCCGGCCCGCGAGATGTTTAGAAGAAATTATAAATAAATATATTTCGATATAATTCGTCTAGTTTAAATTGAATATTATTTTCTGAAGTGTTGCAGCAGCAATGACAGGAGAAAATAAGGGAGTCATTTCCTTATTCAAACAAAAAATGGGAGTACAGAATTTTTCTAAATTATTTATATCTCATCGCATCATCCATCAAGAAAATCTATATGCTAAAGCTATGCAATTAGAAAATGTAATGTCTGTCGTATCCAACTACATAGTGCTGTTTTTATTGTGTTTAAAGTCACTTANAAATTTTGAAATGTGTCCTTCTCTTATAATTATATAAACAATTATTATTCATTAATTTATTAATTAATTAATTTTTCAGTTAATATTAAAAAAGTAATCTGGAATGTAACATTCATTTTTATACGTTAAGAAAAATACGAATATAAACGAACACTGATTGAATTGTTTGAACTCACCGAAATGTAAAATTTGAAATTCGCTCGATCTTCTACAAATTTATTTAAACTATTGGCAATATTTTATTTTTTCTTCGGAAACCAAAACAGACGATGGAAGAAATCCTGCGGAAAAATGCAATGAAAACCGCAAAACATTTGGTTGTTTCCTGCAAATAACATAAACATTTCGTAAATGAAATATGAAAATCAAAGTATATAAAATGTTGGTTCGAAAATAATACTACGAAAGTAATGCGAGCATAATTACAATAAATAATGAAAAATAATAAAAAACGGCATATTTAAATCTTTTAAATGAGTTGAAAATTTCCTATTAGAAAGACACGAGTTGTCTTTCTTTAAATGGATAAATGTGAAAACTAAATTTAAATGCCAAACATTTACAAAAAGATTTTAATCAGATTAAACGGATTTTGTGAACGACAAGCAGAAATGATTAAATGTTCGCTTGTAACGCGAAATTCTCCAATAATTAAATATCTTAATTTGTCTCATTTTAACTTTCATCGTTCTCAAAGTAATATTTAATGGGTATAATCGTTTATTATTTTCAATTTTGTACATATACTTTATAACTCGAATAATTTCGTGCTATTATTTAAAATGTATAGAATCATTGTAGACATAGCGAAAAAACGAAAGTATTAAAAGTAAAAGTTTAGCAAAAAACTACAATACTGTAAATATATAAGTGTAAAGTAAGGAATATTAAAAAATATTTTCTTACTCCGTCATCATCCTCTGCCGACAATTCACTTTTGGATGTAGATTCATTAGCATTTTTTATGTCTTTCGATTCACTTGACTCTTTATTTCTTTCCATTGTTGCTTTATTTTCATTGGTTTCTAAAAAGTAATAATTTAACCATTTATCTTGTAATTTTATATCATCATGCATAGACGTACTCAAACACATTCATTATAAGAAATTTAACCCAGTTATTAAGATTATATAGAAATACATATGTATGAGACATAACTGTATATAGAAAGTCAGAAAGTAGTGCCATTGTGTAAACAGTGAGATATTATAATATAATTTCACTCAAATCTTTCCCATTGTGAACAAAAATCTGCCTACGTTTACGAATTGTGTTTTTTATGTAAATCAGTATAGAAGCGCAGACTACGACTTGTATTAAATAATACGATGTTGACGATAATAATTCCACCGAGTTTACATACAAAAAATTATATTTCAGTTTCGAGTTACATATTATTAGAATACGAATATAGTTCTCGGTGTCTGAGTTTTACAAGCGTTTATCTTACATTTATACAGTATCTGTTAACGTCACACACTGAAAGAATCTAGAGAAAGCTTAACTTTCAAAATACAAATCACTTGGATACAAATTTTATATGTTATAAAATGTGAAATCTTTATAAATATCGAGTCTTTACGAATCCCACTTTTGTTTGTCACCCCTTCGTGCTTCAACACACAATTTGAATCGCCTCCGTGTCCCTTATTATACAAGTTACCGTGCAAATGTCGGTTTGTAATGTTTATCTACCCTGAGATATAAAACGAAATAGACACGCACACATATTTCGGGAATTAATTTTTTGGCGTTTTTGTGTGCAGTGGTCTGAAAACACAACGATTTCAAAAGCACTTAAAGGTTAAATTTACACAATTATATTGTTTATTTATTAAAATTGTAGAAAGATTATAGGAAATTTCTCGACATAAACTTTGACGGATGATAAATTAATTGTCAATTAATTTTGATATCGGAAATGAGTACACTACAAAACAATGAATTATGTCATAAATAAGAACATTGTGTCTCTGGCGATCATTTTATTCGTTTGTTTACTCCACCTGAATAATGTTTTCAGTGAATTTTTATTTAATGTTCGTTAAACGTCTTACTTAAACATTAACAAAAATAATTATTAAAAGTATTTTCGACGAAATAAACAAAATATTTGTAGAATTAAACATTTTGAAATTAATTTTGTATTTTTGAATTGTTTTGAATATAATGACCTACGACACGTGAAAGAGTGCGGATGGATAATTAATATTAAGTTTCTTAATTTAAAGAGATTTTAACACAATGAGTTTAACGTGAAATTATTCCTTAATTAATCTATAAATCAGATAATTCATTGTATTTTTTTGTGAGCTCACCTTGATCTGATACGTTTAATTCTTCACTTAATTCCGAATATGATTTTGACGTGACGTCACTTTCGGTATTAGTACAACTGACGTCATCTTTGGACGAATCATAATCTTTGGACGAATCGTAATCGAATTCGTCTTTTTCAAAGATGGTTTCTTTAACCAAGGAATGTTTTTCTAAATACGAAAACGCCCTCTTCAATGATTTTTTTTCTGTTTAAAAGGTGTAATTGGTTCGTGATATAAACAAAAATTTTGATAAAATTCGTCCATATCGTCCGAATCCTGTAAGAAAGTGAAAAATTCTGATTTCTGAAAGGATAATTTTAGTAATTTTTTAGTAATTGAAAAAATTCTCATTTATAATAAATAAACAACTTGCAAGCATTTTTATAAACACATTTTATGAGATTTGCATTATTGTCATGACTTTTAAATATTACATCTTTAAATGATACGAGTTATTAGATTATTTTTAATTACGATTGAATTGTAACTTACAGAAGAGGACAATTCTGATTCCTCCGCGTTATCTTTTCCTGCAGCTTCTTCACATTTCTCTTCTGTTTTATTTTAAATATAATTTAAAAAGATTAATACATAATTCATACATAATGAAATAAAAAGTAACGTTAAAGAATTTAAAATTATAAAAATGTTGTTATAATTTTTAATGTTTACTTGTTTTATATTTCTAAATGAAATGGAATATTTAAATTTTTGAAAAGATGAAGAAATGAAATAATAAATTGTTATTCATTTGCAGAAAATACGTTTAACGTTCGAATTGTTTCTAGCAGAAAATGACCGCAAAGTTAAATGTCGTTAATGACACTAAGAAATATCTGATTGTAATTTTCATGTTCCTAATAATTGATAATAGAAATTATCTATTTACAATAAGCCACAGTTTGTGTTTAGTAAGTATTTAATGAATTAAAGTTAAGTACGAAAGTGTGCTTGGTGCTTGTTAACTGATAGCTTTTACTGCTGCTCTCTGTTATCATATTTGTGCTAAATGCACGATTTTCTAATGACTAATTTAATTGGAGATATTTTCAATGTAATTATTAAATTATAAAGATTCAGAAATATTCCAATATATTTTTGAACGTAAAACACGAAAGAAAAAGCGAAAACAGTCAAAATTATATTTGTTTATTAATGTGATTAATTTATATTAGATATTTATGGAATTCAACGGAGAGAATGTATTCGCTATCAACGTATAACATTGTTATAAAAATTTTGAAACATGTGGTAGAAAATTACTATTAATTTTATGTTTTTGTTTTTATTGCGAATACGTTAAAAAACAGTTAAACTATATTTTTATTGTATAATTATATTAACTTACTTGAAAAATTCATTTTTTTCGCATTCAAAATATCTTTTCTTAAAAATATCGCTCCGACAATTGCCGAAAATCTATTATCAACAGTTATTTTTACGCAACAATGGAAAACTCGCTTACGGAAAGATAATCGAAGCGCGTGCTAAGCATTACGTATGTGAAGTAATTTTATTTTTGCCTTTTCTCCACGTGGCCAGTTCATCGATAATGGGTCAACCCGATCAACATAGAGTAAATTTTTTTAATCGACAACCTGTCGAAATTTTATATTGAAAAACTATGGCTGCCTCACAGCAATTTTTACATCACTACATTCATTGCACTAACACAATGAACAAAGTTCCGTCTTTTTTTTCAAATTCGATAGCAAAATTGGCAAATTATTTTCTGTTTGGAATCTTTACCTAAGGCTGTGTACACTCAGGCGTTTTTAAACGAGCGTTTTAAAAAACCAAGAGTTCTGCATAGGTATACATACTCAAACGCGCGTTGATAGACTTTTGTTAGAACGCGCGTTTCGCGAGCGTCAGCAGCGCGCTTTGAGATATATGTGCTGCCATGTTGTGGTACATTCGATCGCGCGCTTTAGGGTAGAGTGGACGTACGTTGGCCGAAATGGAGAACGATCATTTCGATACTGATCTATTTATTGATGAAATCTAAAAGAGACCAGCCATCGTCAAATGATTTTATAGATATTCTAAAAGAATTTAAAAACTTGGGTTCATATTGTCTTAGTTTTGGGTACAACATTCCATGCGTCACTCTATCTTGTAATATTGGGTGCACTCAAAATTCTCTTTGCCTCTGCCATCGTCTTTTATAGCGACGATGGATGAGGCACACACAAGCAATTACTTTCACGCCCATTTCCGAACTGAGCCAGTGCTCACGCTCCACTAAACGGTCGTCGAACGACAAGCTAACACCTGGTGTGTACGCTGTTAACTCGCGTTTAACGCAACACAAAACGCCTAATGTGTATACAGCCTAATGCTTTGCCAATGCCTGCCAAATAGCTCGACAAAGTTTATTAATGATGGAACAAACCGTCGATCTACCCGTTCGAAATGCAAAAGCTTGGCAAAGATTTTAATTTCCAACAAAAAATATAACTAATATTTTTAGCTAATACCTAAAAATATTAAAGAAATCATTTATTGTTTACATTTATAATCTGAAATTATATTTTTTTATTTGTCATTTTCTTTGTTTTTCTTCTTCAAATTCTTATATAAATATTGAACGCACGCGAAGAAAGTTTTACGAATTGCTGTTTATTTTTATTCTCTAGTTTCCGATTATCAAATGAACTTTCCGCATGTGATCTATATAAATTAGCGCGGGAGACTCCGTCAAAGGTATAAATGTTATGACAACCAACGAACCTGAAACAGAAACAAATAGAATTGAAGATCTGACACGCGAGGAAATTGCTCGTAATCCGGATGAAACAGAATTGTCTTCTCTTTAAGTTTATAATTCAATCGAAATAATTGAAATTAATTTAATAATAATTATTTTTTAAAGTTTTAAACTGAAAAACACAACACAACAATGCTGATTCGTCTAAAATGCGTTATTTAAAATGTCTGCGAATTGATTATTTATTAATTAAACTTTTTCTGAGTTAATAAAAAGAATAATTCGAGTAATGTAACATTATTATAACAGTAATTAAAATTACTTTCTTGACACTCTGCTTTCGTCAAAACTGTATTATATTTGTTTATAACAAAAACTATTGAATATGGATTGAAGTTAAGATTTGTTAATATGTATTTTTCACTTTTGCGGGATTCCGATTACGAAAAAGAGTGGAATTTTTGTCTGTTTCAGGATTAAATTACTCCTGTTGAATAACACAAGAAAGCATTTATATATTTAGACTGATTTTTTAAATTTAAAGTTTTCAATTAATAATTAAAAAGATAAATAATATTAACGTTTATTATTTGTACGTTATTTGTTTGTTTGCTAAAATAAATCACCCGAATTCGGATAAAAGAAAGTAGTTTTACTTGTTTAATCTGGGAATTTTTTTTATTAATTTTTAGAATTTACAAAAAACTTTTTATTTACAAAGAATTATTTGATTCATTGAATAAATTGTTTAACAATTATTAAGAAATGTTTTGATGTTAAACTCCTTTGTTAAAATCTTTTTAAATTAACAAAATTAATATTAGGGGAAGCCGGGGCAACTTCGGCATGCGGGGTAAGTTTGTCAAGCGCTTTTTTTAAAAAACAAATTAAAAGGAGACTTTCGTTATAGGTTAGGCAGTTGAGTTTTATTGGTGGCTTGTTGAGTGTAGTGTTTTTATTGTTCTCCAACAAGCGTAGTTGAATTATCAAGCAAATTTTCATTTTCGTTCAATTCCATATAATATTTTTTTTCCATTTATATTGAATTGGCAGGTTTTGTTATAATTCCATGATAACGAAAGTTACTTTTCCTGTTAGAAGGATGTAACTTCAACTTATTCACGTGGCCAGATCGTGGCTTGGCATTCTGTTCTCAGGGTTGTACTTAATGTTTCGAAATCATGACTAGCGGGGTAAGATCGGCAACATAAAGCCACATTAGAAGCAAAGGATAAAAATCAAACAGATGATAAATGAAAACATGTTTGCATTTGTTATTCATGTATATATGTCTTTGAACTTGCATTTCGTTGTAATAATATTAAATGGGTGTTGGATTTGTATTTCTTTGTTTTAATAGTGAATTCCAACTTATACATTGTTAATAACATAATTTTATATACGTGCCTATCTTGCCCCATTACTGTTGCCCCTATACCAGGGGCAACTTTAATAAAAATAATTAAAATAATTACAACTTTACAAAAAGAGAGAAGTTGCCGATCTTGCCCCTATACCCGGGGCAACTTCGTCAATTTCTCTCTTCTTGTAAAGTTGTAATTATTTTAATTATTTTTATTTCCAAACTGATTTTAACCAGTTCTATAGTAAGAAAACATTCCAATAGACAATATGCAAAGCTTTTTTTTTCAGTTTACAGCAGTATTTATTATACAAAATTTAAGTAAAGCTTAACATGCCGATCTTGCCCCGGTCTCCCCTAATTGTTTATCCGCAGTCTGTCACGTGTATTGGATGGCGAAGTTTATTATATTCGAAACAATTCAAAATAGAAATTAATTTCAAACGTTTTATTTCTATAAAGATTTAATTTGTTACTTATAGAATTTTATATATAAGAACGTGATGCTAACTTTTAAACCATAGAAGAATGTAAGTCCATCGACCATCTCCAGTTGGAGATGGTCGATGGTAACGAGTGGTGAACCACTTAGAAAGCGAGGAGAAGGAAAAGCCACCAATAGAAATGGGCAATCGAGGACGTAAATTGAAGGAAGGGAGAGCTTCTTCTCCCGAAAGTTCCAAGTGGCGGATCTATTGTAGTGTGTGTGTCTCGCGCCCATCTTCGTCTCCATCTCCCGACCTCGGATCGACATCTTTCCATCAACGGAAGTCGACCGCATCGTCCCGGAGTCTCACGACGTCGATGGAATTGTTCATTCGCCAACCAGAGACACTCCTTCAAAATGGGACTATCTTGGAAAGGAGAGGAAGACCCAGAGGCCTCAGCCAAGGTTGAACTGTCAATATCGCGGAAATCTTGTAAGCTTCTTTCGTGTATAATAAACGTGTTGTGTTGTAAACGAGTCATCTATCTCTGACTCAACTGTTACCACATGTCGTTAATTGTTATCGCTCGGCGATCCAGAAGTCAATGGAGACGATGACGATATATATCTCATATTATCGTTAATTACGTTTTTTTGTTTTTAATTTCTCTCCTCTCGGCCTCCACAAAATTAATTTTCAACATATGTGTGTGTGCTCAAGTCTATTTCGTTAAATATCTCAGGATATGTAAACATTACAAACCGAAATTTGCACGGTAACTTGTATAATAAGGGACATCGAGGCTATTCAATTTTGGTGGTGAAAGGGTGAAAAATAGAGGGACAGTCGGTCTACACGTTATTAGCACTTTCAATTTTATATACAACGCATCCGTATTTTCAAGATTAAGCTTTCTTTGGATTATTTGAGTGTATGAGGTAGACAGATAATGTATAAATGTAAAATAAACGCTTATAAAACTGAGACATCGAGAACTATTTATAAATTCGAATTTTTGTGTT